TAGTAAGTCATGTAGGTTAATACGCTATTATTGAGCTGCAATGTACCATCGTTAATTACCTATATTATAATAACTCTACTAATTCTAGCACTCTAACGATCCTTTTAATCCTGTTAATCCTCTTTCGATTACAACGAAATAATAAATTCTATGTAGTCGATAGCTGTTGTTGAGTAAAAATTCTCGTTTACCCACTGTTTTTATGGGAATTTCTCACTTATTAAGAAAAGGGATTTTACTGGTTTTTACCCCGCCTAAGTACCAACTGCGGAAAGTATTCTGCCAGAAACAACCCTCAACGATATAAAAATTAAAGCACATTTTCTGTTCCAAAACCTACCTAATAACAACACAAAAATAAAACACATAATTTATGATGATTTAACGATCCGCTTAAAAGAAATATTAAAATATATCGTTTCACGAATAGGTATGCGAAGTATACAGTCATACAGACAATATTAAATCATTATTGACTTAAAAATAATATTGATTTATATTTTTTGTAACATTTTCAATTTTATTTAAGAATAAAGACAGTATCCGCGACAGCGGATAGATGGTAGACACAAAAAATACAATTTTGTGAAATGGTAAATTTATTATTGAATTTAATTATAATATTCTTGATTTGTTTTTAATCTTGTTAGTTATTTTTAAACTTTTTATTAGATTTTGTTCGGACATAAATTTATAATTTCCTCGAAAACGTATTTGCAATCCAGACTAATTTATAACAAACCATCAGTGTAATTTATATTGTAAATTTCTACTGTCTTCGTCACAAAATTTGATTATTTGTTCATCCTATAATTATCTATGGATTTAAAATTTTTTTAAATCTTGACCGTTTTTAGTAAGGCTAAGCTCTACCACGAATAGTAATGCTATTGTTCATCACAGAAGCTTTCAAGATAAGATATATATTATACACTCAATCACTCAACGTCCTTAATACATTTTTGTTTTAAATCCCCGTGTTATTTCATAAATAAATTTTCTTTTACGTTCATTTGATTTAATTATGAGTATTTTGGGTAGTTTAAGAAATAACAACATATAGGTAGGTACCTACTTCTTTCATAAAAACCTATATCTTTATAACAATATAATTAAATCTATAATTCTGCAGAAACGCTTTAAAAAAATTAATACTGTCCCAGGGATATAATTTAAGTATCAAAAAGCTGCGAGTTCACATTTTTTCAAATTCATAGCGAACGATAAAAATGATATACAATTTTCTATTAATTCTTTTTAATTACGGTATCCAAACAATATTTTGTTAAAAGGCTATTCTGTGTAACAAGTTCAGATTTCTAACTCAGTGATAATAAATCCTTGCTTTCAAATTTGTAATAATAATATTACACAACACATAATGTTCACCACTGCAACATCCAGCACCTGACCACTGAGGCAAGCAGAGCGAGACGAGTGCTCAAACGACAAACATTTGACATTTGTCCATAGTGTTCTCTAATTACCACATACATCACGCGAGTGTTTAACTGTGCAATGTTCAAAATTCAAATTAAATCGCAAATACCTACAAAACTTTACCAACCATTACCGACCTCTTGGAACAGAGTATACAGAAACCACCATCTTTCGACATCCTGCAACTTTGACATAGCTAGGTATGTACCGAGTACATTTTCTGCGAAATAGTTTTCCACACCTCTACCATATATTAATATATAACGCGTGTAATGAAATAATTTAATTATTGTGTTGCAGTTAATTATAAACTATAGGTGCGATTGAAAGACGCTTTGTCTGTGTATAACTTTGTTTTGGAAAATATTTTTTTTCCTGTTTACCTATAAGTACTCGTACTGATGAATCAAACACAATTTTTTTAATCAGTAAAAATGTTTTGGCGAACAATGAAATTGCCCAATGTAATAAGGGTGGAAGTGAGATAAATGTGTACATATATACGTTAGGAAAGGGGAAAAGAAATGAGAGAAAGACAGGGATGTCTAACAATTTTTTTTTTTGAGCAATGATACTGTCATATTTTAGAGAATTTTTTATTTCTTTTAAAATTATCATTTTTTTGTTCGCCGGTAGACAGACCGCATACCATATTATGATAGACCGGTAGTTATTATTATCAAGCGGGAGTGATTTTTCAATCATCGTACAACAATAATGGCTATAATACCTATCTTAAAATGTAATGTGCCCTACGCCTACGTGCTATATGTCTGACGTTGAAATTTCGCTTCAAACATAATCGTATGCATTAAATATCACAAAAATAAGTTACGATTATCCGAGCTTAGTTCAAACTATATACATATAATATGCAGAATTGTGTAGAACACTGCAGAGTACACGCCGAAAGTGGTTTTGCTTACGATGCTTATAAGTAATAGACGGCGGCGACACCAAATAATAATGGCCGCCGCCGCCCTTGTGGGGTTTTGCGGCGGTATAAGTCGACCTTTGTCCCTACGAATTATTTTTGTCATTAATCTAGTATTATACTTACCTCTATATGTATAGTAATATTATTATGGCGCGTTGCGGGATAAGATATTGTAATCATTTGTCGTGTATATAGGTATATATTATATATATATAATTAATTAATATTGTTGCATACTTAATTTATCGTGTACACCTACAATAACTGTTATTTTAATTAATTTAATATTATCCGTTTTTCAGCGCCGTACAACATACGGAACTTAAACGACGCCGTGTTCTCCAACCCACTGGGGACAAAACAGTGTACAGTTTCAGGAGTGCTTTATAATCACAGTCAAAAGGTACAGTGTGCTATTTTAACATTTTATTACAGTCGTAAATTAATTATAAGACGTATATTATAACGGCGACGGGCCGCCGCCGAGGCCGTTCGCAGCAAAACGAAGCCGAATGCATATTATTATTTTTGATTCGATGTACGGACTTAAATAATATTAGTTTAACTGTGAGCTAAATAATATATTATTATTATACTTTGTACTGTTCGCTGCGTATACACACCTGCCGCAGCATATACGATTTGCGCGATTAATGGTATATATAACCGCTTTTTATATACCTATGTATGGCCATATATGTACATACAGGTGTAGGGTATTATACATAGGTATATGAGACATATCGTGAGTTGTGTTAGGTTGTGCGTATAAGGTGCAATAATATTATACCGCCGTACGTAATGTACATAATATCAATAGGTACCTACTATACCTATATATATCCATAATACCATATATTATACCAATGTTAGAGTAGTATAGTAGGTACTACATACGGATAATGTTTGGCAAAAAAAGAAATGCTACCTGATAATAGTGATTTTTGACGTTTTTCGTTCGATCTCATATCAATGAAATGAGTTTAGTTTTCTAATCATTTTGGGTGGGCCATCGGTATATATACCTAAATATAATACGCCTATAACCTAAATAATTTTCGAGGCGAATCAAGTCTCCCAAAACTCTCGCTCTAAAGCCCTTGTCGAGTCTTCATCAATTCCTATTTAATATTATATAATATCGTGTTTGTCATATTATTCATATAGGTAATATTATATTATAGACGCTCGACACTAAACTAGAATACCTTTGGCCGTTGCCAACCAGACCGAGACTGCACCCTTTTGAACGACCGCAGGCATTCTGTAAATTAACAATTTCTAAATTGATTACATACCGGTAAATTCGATTTCCCGTGACCCGTGTCTACATTCTTTACTCAATCAATTTCAAATTTCCTTTTCGGGATTCCCGAACATCGTACCTCATCTACATTTACTTATTCCCCTAATTGTGGATGCAAAATTAGCACGTCAGACGATTGCAAAATTAGTTACGACCGCTGCAGGCTGTGGCGATGCGGACACCCATCGTCTTTAATTTTTAATATTTATCGATCGTCCATAAAATTATATTCTACATGCGCGGCAAATTGTCTGGCAGCACAACCACTCCCTACCCAAAATAGAATTTGATTGCGCAATCAAAGGGCGTGGACTGCAGCAGTTAGACCATACAATATTTACATAATATATGGTACATATTATATTAATATAAAATAATTAAATATATATATATATTATATGCGAAAGTAATATGTAAATATAATCTAATATTACGTACGAAGGCGATCATAAATTCAGCAGTAATATGTAAATATAAATGTGATATTACGCACAAAGGCGATCATAATAAATTCAGTATTTCAGCGTATAGGTGTAGGTGCGGTTTGTTTGAAACTATATTCGTGTACAGCCAAGTCATTCAAATTTCGAATGGTGATACAAATGAATTCGACTCGAGTATTTCTCGAGGTATTGAGTTTTACGCCATTGACTATCGAGTGTATAATATTATAATATTATACAGTATAGGTACGGTTTAAGAATTGTCAATAAGAGAAAAGAAAAAGATTCGAGTTATCGAAATTTTTGAGTGATAATAGAAAATTGAGAGCAGGTTTATCGAAACTCGACATGTATTATATGTCAAGGGTAATATCCGATATCCGGGTAATGACTTTATTACCCGGGTAAGCTCGACATTACCCTGCATGTACATTGGACAAGTACAACATTACCCTGACTGTAGTTTATAATAAACTTTGAGCAATTTGGGGTTTACCCGAGTAATGTCGACATAACCCATAAGCATCTTCGGGCCTCGGGGTGATATTAACTTTGCAAAAAAAAAAAAAAATAAAGAAATTTATATATGTTTATGTTTTAGAGTGGTGATTTTTTAACTATTAAAATAATATTATTATTATTATTTAAAACTTATAACTAGCTGCGGTAATTAATGAAAGCATGCAAATGGTAGACGAAACATCAAAACTTGAGACTGAAATAGACCATGAAAAATGTAGGAACTTATAATAAAATCTGCAAAAGACCTTAATGGCCAGCAAAGCAAAAAAAAACTTATAACTATCTACTTGTTGTTACATGTTAAGCCATTATGACGCCTTTTATTATACATAATACGCCAGTGGCTTGACATTTACATGTAAGTACTTGTATCACATTTTGTTTTACTTGAGCATTTTTTATACCTCTGACCCCCATTGAAAGATTTCACATTAGCTATTTCTCTCCTCAAAGATTTTATTAAATTGTTAATGACATTTTCGGTTTTTAACATAGCTTCCAAACTACTTACAGTTAATTGGTTGTTTGAGTATATCTGTGGTGATGTCCCGTTTATATTTTCTGATATATAGTATTCCTCGTTTTTAATAGAAATTACAACAAATAAAAACATTTTTTGATCAGTTTGTACACTCTGTCTGCATTGGGTACCGAAACTAACAGTGTCACCTATTTTCGCAGCATTTATATTTAATATTTGATCTGGACTTATTTTTTTCCACATTTTGATTTAAATATTTAAATATTCTTTCGATTTATTCACCCTAGAGTTTCTACATGAGTTTGTTTCAATTATTTATTGTTAATAATGGAGCTATCAACGATAATACGTCAATATTAATATACCTAACATACGTACCTATTGTCATATTTTTCGATCAATTTCCTATTATTTCAGAAATCGACTGACAATATAATATTGTAAAATACCTACCTAGTTATTTTAAAGGCACGCAATTTTTGTGTAATTATTTAAAACATTGCCCGATAGTATTGTCACCAGTACTATCACGTTCGTGTTATGATTGCCATTACCCGGCCCCGATCGGGAAATGTCGACATTACACAGTACACACAATCCGACATCTAAAATGCGACTGAACGTTTATAATAATATATAATATAGTAGAATTTAACCAAAACAGAACGTCTATAGAATGGTGGGTACCTATGTAGACAGATTTTATTTAATTGTATTGATTTTTCGTGTAACCAGTGTACCTATTACATTCGATAAGAAACTCTGTGCGTATGTACGATGGTATACAAAGTATACTTAATATCATCACCCACCAATATTATTATAATAACAATGATCGTGTTTGCGTTTCGACAGATACTGTTCACCGACCACTGTAAGGCGTGCATTTGCATCGACGGACAGATATTTTGCTATTGGCAATGCGACGACACAGCCCCTGCAGACACAATGGACGAAGAGATCGACGGCGAACCGCAATCCACGTCCACGACGACAAACAGTAATATATAACAATATAGAAAGACGTTTCAATGCGTGGGTGGTCTATAAATGAATAATTTATATACAATATACGTGCAGTATTTAAACCTACACTTACAAACTATACGCACGCGTCTGTTGGTTTTGGATAGTAAAAAAAAAAAACAATTTACAAATTTGTTTTCGGATGACCGTTTGACATTATAATTTATCACACGTAGGTATACCTGTATCGTTTACTGGTGCAAAGTGTACGATTCAATAGAACTGCAGCAATAGATAGTGTGTATGTGAGTAGTTTTCGTTTGTGATGTTCTTCGTTTTTTAACATATTTTGCAATATTAAACACGTGCAACGCGTCACGTCGGTGTACATAATATAATATACTATATTATTATATACTGCTGCAATTTCGTTGCAAGATATTCAAAGGCCACTATTTTAAATTTGATATTTTTTTCATTAAACAGGTACTTTGCGAATTTGTTTTCCAACCATTCATTTTTCTTCACACATATTTTTCACTTTTCTCGTACCTGCACGTCTACATAATATTATACATAATATATACTTTGTCCTTAAACTTCCCAACACCATTCATCAGTTATAACTTATAACTTATAAGCAATAACTATATATGATAATACGTTTCTAACAAGTAGGTAAATTCTTTTTACGAGCACTTATATATTTTTTGTAAAACGTCCCGTGTTGACACTATATAATATAAAGTATAATATTACGTAGTAAATCGAGCTCCGCGCCGAATCGTTTTCGTAATGCGAAGTGATTTATTATTGCTTTCAAATGTATAATATATGTATATAAATATTATCCAACCATATACACTCCAACATATGTGTACGGATTAGGTACGCACGGTGGCGAGCGAAACGGCAGCAGTCTCCACATCCGTGTCCTGTCCGTTATTATTATTTTTTTTTTTTTTAATGTTTTTACCAAAGCTTTTGTCTGCATACAGTGGTAAAGGTATATAAAAACAACGGCTTGACATTTGCAATATTTACGAGTTAAAACAATTCTATACATCCAGAAAGTATATACTCGAGAGTGTGTGTGTGTGCGTGCACCGTGCAGTATAATATAGGTATAATACGTGCACGGTAAAACGCACTATAACCTAAAGACAATAAATAATCAGACAGAACAAAAGCCCGGTGTATATAGGGCGGGGACGTTAAAAAAAATAACCGTCATTATTATGTACATGTAGGTAAATAATGTAGCGATGATAGTGATAACTGCGTGCGTATATTATATTATTGGGATTAAAATCTTTTATATAGTATAATATCATATCATCATCGTCTCTATATCGTTCTCATCAGTATAGTGTATAATGCGCGGACGTGCACGGCGCATAGTGCACCGATATCCGTGGCTGAAGGGTTAAATGTGCAGTTCGATGCATTACTTATTATAACCTGCACATAATCTACATACCCGGTATTGTGTATTGAAGTGTTTTACCAATGACGCTCCTTGAGAACGGAGAGAGAACGAGGTTTAAGTGCATTTAAAGACGTAATATTTACAAATTGAATATTATAATTTGTATAATAACATACAAATTTGAACATTTTATCTCAAACGATAATATTCCCTCTCCTCTCTCGTCCATGCCGTATAGTACCTAACTGCAGTACTACCTATACGTACCGCGTTTTTGAAATCTTCGTTTTAAAAAATGAAAATTACATAGTACGTATAGGTACCACCTATGTGAATGTTACCGCCACAATTTTCATTGTATTATGACGTAGGTACTTGGAGTGCTTTGACATCTGCATTATAAACATATTCGTTTTTTGTCTGTAATTAACACGCACAGTCATAAAATGTACATATTATTTGAAATTAGAGAGTTCATTGTACGAGGGTTGACAATAGAAATATATACGATCACATACCCTTATCCGTATCCTGCAGTAACCAATAACCAGCAGGTAACAAAATAATTCGTATTTAATGATGTCCATCAATCATTGAAATGTAGAATAAATAAGTATTCGTTACATCTTACATAATATTGTTACACTTTGCATCTTATTAGACGCCATGTATCTACTTATATGTAAATAATGTAAACTATCGGTTAGGTCGGTTTCTAAAAAAATTTCAATACTTTGGTTAGATACTAACAGAAATACATGGTTCAATACAGAGTTATATAAAAATAAAAAACAACATAGGGCATTAGATACATTATAGTAAAGTATGTAAAAACAATGCGTGTGGTCAAAAATGCATAGACTACCTTGGTCCTACTACATTCAATTCATTAGATTAAGATATAAAATAGACATTACTATACTATAAAAACAGAAATCAAAAAGAAAATTAATTAATGAATAGTTATTGTGCAATTTACCTTAAATCAAATTCTATTTATATTTTAAGCTATGTAAATAATTTTAATCTACGTTTGTTTTATTCGTGTATGTTTGAATACAATGTTATTCATATAGTTTTCTTTTTACCATGTACAATTTCTAAAAAATATTACATTGATATTTGTTCATTTAGTTTTATATGTAGGTATTTAGAATTTTAATTTGTATCTTTAAAATTTTAATTTAATTTAATTTCCTTTATTAATAATTATATTTCATAATTTAATAACTCTCTATCTCCAACACAAGCTTTGCTTAATGGAGATAGATAATCGAAAATGTATCTTTAAAAATAATTTAAGTATATTCTTTCTTTTCAAAAAAAAAAAAAAAAATGTAAACAGTGGAGAGCCCAGGAATTTTCAATTAGGGGGAGAGGAGGGGTATTACTAATAATATATTTAAATGAATTGTGGTGGTAATACTAAAGACACAAATAATGTGACTTATCGGACAATGGCGAAGAGCCAGGAGGGGGTAAACCCCCCAGCTACCTCGCTGTGCGAGCTACCGAATGTAAGGTTACACTAAAAACGGTTTACGTTTGACATGCTAAAGGTACAATCGTGTGAGAAACGTCTGTATAACTTTATGTACACACGTCTAGCTTTGAATAATATTTTCAAATTTATTAATTTTCAGTAATTTCGACTACCTTCGAAACCGATGTGAGTTCGAAATCGACAAACTTTGTACCGCACTCGAGCTCCTCGGACGTTTTGCAGACAACCGCCGTGACACCCAACGAAGACGCCGAGCCGTTTTGCCTAGTTATGGGTAAACAATAATATATTATAACGCCGTAGCGACAATGATCGCGTCCAGTGGCGTAGCCAGGAATTTTTTATGGGGGGGGGGGGGGGCTAAGTAAACAAATACAATGTAAATTGTAAAATGTTTCAATTTATTTTTTTATTAATCTTGATAAAATTCTAAGGTCAACACCGGTCAGTGGGGGCGGAGGCTATAGCCCCCTTAGCCACCCCCCTGACTACGCCACTGATAGCGTCGATCTCTTATTGTTATTCCGATCGAATAATAATAGTTATTATTACCTAATACCTGTTGAATAACTGTTGTCCGTGATATCGAATCCGTTTCGTCCGCAGGTGTCAGATATAAGCCGGGCAGCGTTTTGCCCAGAGACGCGGGATCCTGTCTGGAATGCCAGTGCGGCCAAAACTCGCAGATCGCGTGCAGCCCGAAGGACTGCATAACGTTGAATTCGTTGGCCGACGAGGACACTTCCGAACCGGATTTCTACGGCAACAACAACGGCGAACAGAACAACGGAAATTTCAACATGGACATGTTTGCCGTCAACGTCGTTTGATGGAAACCGTAGGAGGAGCGAGAGAGAGAGAAAATTATTGATATTAAACGATGCGTCTTTTATTACGATTAATATGCATTTTGTTTTACGAAAAAAAAGCTATAATGATATTATTATACTACCATATAATATTGTAATGTCCGCCAAAACGTCTATATAATAATAATGATTATAATAGTATGCCCTTATTATTTACTCAAAACAGTTATGGTTTTTCGTCTCGGAGTTTTCGATTTGAGTTCACGCATACATACTACATAGTATTGTAGCTAGTAGGTATAAGGTTTTTTTTTTTTCATTATTATTTCTTTTTTAACAGTGAATAATTGTCTTTTAAACCTACAGAGTAATATATAAGTAATAAATCCCCGCATTAAATAAAAATAAGAGCTGTGACCGTTTAAAAATAAAAATGCCCTCGCCTAGACATAAAGACAAGTTCCCCGGCGAAATTAGTGGTTTCGTCGTTAATGCTAATGCCCAATAACAGAAATCAAATTTCATGTGAAATCTCAAACCCAATAACCACAAACAGTGCTCGTCTTGAAACTTTTTATTCAATAAATTAATACAATATGATATTCTTGTACACTCGACATTTAATAGTAGGTATCGTATACGCGCACTATTATTACTTATTACCTATAGTGGGTGCAGGTATATCGCGTGACAGATTCATTGGAAACTCAATATCGGAATTAATGATCATCTGCAACCTATATGCCTTGCAGAACTCGCAATTTGTGTAAAAACAATAATGTTGTTAACATATAATTTTTTTTTTACATCCATAAAAATAACGACGAAGCCAATAAAAAATAGACCATTGAAATACACGGAGTGTATGAAAGAAAGGCAAAGTAGCTTAGGATATCGCGGTAATCCGGTTCAGACATAATATGAGGTATAATTTATATTATGACGTAGACATAATAATAACCTGTACATAATAATTAATGTTCTAATGTCGTTGTTTCGTTGCCCATATCATATTGTATTGAAACTGAAAGAAAGTTTAACATATTCCTAAGTTATAGACGTACAGTACAATAGGGAGGTGCATAAAACATTAGCGATTCGTTCTTTGGAACAGCCATTTTTCGGAATACCTTATTCAGTTTTATTGTTCTTAGTTCTAAAAATTACTATACATAATGATCATCCCTTTAATTATCGATCTCACATTTAACTGTACATACGTGTGAGGTTCGACTTACCGATTTTCCGGCATTATACAGCCCTTCGTTCAATAGTTGTATCATAGGTGCCATATTAAATTGTACATTTCATCTTGAGTGACCCGGTCTTTCTGCCCCATACTGTTTTTCATTACAACGCAATAACTTATCTCGACCACGTCAACAGACCACAGTATTATGATAAACAGACTATAATAATATAAATGCCTATATATAGTATAGCTAATGACTGTGTTTAATGACCCAAATGTATGTACATATGTTTTTTATTTTTACAAAATATGTAAATTTTCATAATATAAAAACGATAGTATCTGACTATTACAACGAGTATTAACTATGAATTATTTAAATATTTTAAAGTTTAAACTATCAATTAATATATTTTATATCGTTTGTTAGTAAGTATGTGGATTATCTGTGTGTTTCACAATATCATTATTATTTTATATTTTATATAAATAAACGCATGATTTTTTTTTTCCAATTGTGCACTGTGTATACCAAATATTATGATATTATGATAAGTCATAAGTAGAATAACAATTTTATTTGTTATTACTCATAAGTTATTTTAGTGTAGACATCCTTATTCATTATTCATGATTAAATAACTAACATTTTCACCCAGACGAATGTATTTCAAGTCCAAATCCACTGTAAAGAAAATTCTATATTAATACATTAACTTCTCTCTTGCAAAAATAAATTTTTTTATCGTCTGAATTTACATTTTTTAATCTTATCTATGACTCTTTCATTAAGCATACATTTGTATAATTACCCTTTTTCAATATTGTTAAATAATTAGAAATTACTATTATTATAATTAATATTATCTTATACTAAATTATAATTTAAGTACCTCATATCTGTAGTCATAATCGGTATACTTGGATATGTATACATACCTATTATAATACATATCTACATTAAGATATCATAGTATTTCTAATAAATAAAAATGTAATAGGTAACCTTACTTACCGAAATTATGGAAATAATATATAATGTGTGCGTAATCTAAATATTTATATTTTATATTATCATTTACAAATTATTAGAGTACGTTGCCGGTTATTTTATGTTACATGTTTTCAATAAATATTATTATACATTATAAACCTTACTATTCACCTCGATTATACTGCTGTTATTAAAGTAACGTGGAGGCATCAATTATATTGTCGTCTAATAATTATTTATCATTCAGTGTTTTTTTTTTCTTTTTCTTTTTTACACTTGCTTAATCGTCTATGAAATACATAACAATAATATTATATACCTACTGCGGTACATATAAGTTAAATGTCGTTGTTTTTATTACGTCTAACTTATACTTCAGCAACTTAGGGTATGGATGCTATAAAGCCATAAGGGTTGAAGCACATGACAATAATATTATCAGGTACCTATAACAATAAAATTGAACCACGATTGTGCTGTAGCTAAGACTGCCTATCTAGAACGCCGTGTGCCGATAATGTTATTATTATTGAAAATATTATTATAATATCAATGATATTAGATATCAAAACCATTATTACGAAGTCCTATAGAAAAATATAACCAACGATAACGCAGAACAGCCGGCTACAACACGATTACGCAAAATACACGATTCCGCGTGGTTTTAAATGCAACGTTGCCATACCAAAAAATATTATTATTATATAATATATATTATATTATATATATATATATTATAATATTATTTATTTGTTTAATATTATTATTAATGAAATGTTGGCCATATTATATTATTGTAAAGTAAATAGGTATCGTTTTAACAACACTTTTGGAAAAAAACATGATTTTATAAAAGATATAGTAGGACATTTTTTTTAATCCGGTACTAAAACATCGTGTTTTTTTCGTACGACGAAAAAAACATTACATTTAAATTATATTATAGCATCTTGCCATCTTACTTTTACTCCATAACAATGAATGATACAAATGAATAATAAATCTAAAAAATTATACACTCTTAAATTTCATACACAATAAATATACTTGACACTTTGGTTCTCATGGCCTTTAGTACTTTTTTAATTTACACATATTATAAATTATAATTCACAATAACGAGACTACGAGAACAAACAAATGTGACGGCAACGTTGCATTAAAAACCATGAGCGGAATCGTATGTGTAGCAATATGTATACAATATATATATATATTATATATATACTCAATGGTAGCAGTTAATAAAATCTTAAGAGGTTGTCTCCGTCTTACAAGAGCGTAACATGGTAAATTTTATATTCAGCAGAACACGTGTAGCTCCGTCAGTTAAACAATTAGGCAACTTCAAGGGGTATTTTATTATATTTTAGTTTTAAAGTGACTTATGAGTATTTTAAGATGTACAAACAATTTACTATTTTAAAATACTCATAACTCGATTTAAAATTAAATTATAATAAAAATCCTATGAGGTTCCCTATAGATAGTACTATAGTAGATAATAATCTTGCCTTTAGATTTTATAAGAGGTAAATTCACTCTAATTTTTAAATTAACGGAGCTGCACCATAGTCGCAAATTGGGGGGAGGCTTGGAGGGGGCTTTGAAATTGCGCCTATGCCAGCTGTGTTCTGCTGATCGTAGAATTTGCTATGTTACGCACTTGTAAGACGGAGACAACACTGTCGTAGAGTTTTTATTATTTGGATAACATAAATAAAATTAAAGTTATCAGTTTGCAGAGAACATTAGGGTTTCTTTTGTTTTTTTCTTTTAATTATTAAAAACTATTGGTAAATGCTATCGAAAAAATTAAAAAAAAGCTACGACACAGATAAAGTTGTTCCCTATATGCGTTGTGGAATTTTGGTAATTCTAGTATAAATACCGAGGGAGTGGTTCTATCCCGCGAAAAACAGTTTTTTGCTATGTTGTACATTTGTAAAACGGAGAAAACGAGTATACGTCCTCTTAGAGGTACCGCGAATTTCTGGAATCGTTCTCTACCGTTACAGCCAACGTTGGAACGAAAAGTGGGAAATTTCGCGTCGAATGGTTGATATTTACCTTCAAATATTTAATTGCCATGTTATAAAAATACTTATGCACTCCAAAAAAACTTACCCGAATGAATTCCGGTCCCAAAGATCTGTGTCATATAGATGTGAGTATCCAATAATAAAATATGTTGCACATAACCTCACAATAAGGTGAGTCGGTACAGCATTACACTTTTTGACATTACCCCCCGCATGAACCGGAGCTCCGCATCCAGTCTAGTCTTGGTTTGCCCCTCGAGCGAATTACACCAAACTTAATAATTGCACTCGAGCCGAGATACGACTTATTGACCCAAACACACTTAAACCGTGATACGATTCAACCTAAATACACTTTACACTTAAACCGTATAACCAATACTACCTAAGCCGCCACAGTCGGATTTCCCAATGCCATCGTGTCCTATTTACACTAGAGTAAGGGCGGATACAGATGCCACGAATCTATGAAGTGAGGGGGAGGGGGAAGGGGCTAAGTATATCGTAATATACAGTATACAGTATATACTATACACTATATATAATGTATTGATACACTAAGTTGATGGTAAAAATATTAGATAGGTACGTATATAATAATATACGTAGTTAACTTAAACTGCCATAAAATGTACAAACTCGCGATGGCCCCATTCATATAAAAGTTAAAATCTATTATGAAAACCATAATGCGTACAATATAATTGTTTTACGTGAATGGAGGTAATGTATATAATATTTATAAATATGGATACTGCTAAGAATATTCTATACTTGCTATAGCAAAAGCCAAAAACAAAAATCAATCAGACACACGCCTTAACTTATTTCATGTGAAATCGCTATGTAGTCGCACTATACACGTACTGTACATATGTTGTTGACTGTTATAATATTATATCTTATGTTATAAATTATAATAATAACATTATAATATACGTGGGTAAAAGTTTTATGTTTTGAACGATTGGCCGTTGCGGTCGTATTCATTTAGTTTCCGTGGTTATATTATTGTTATTGATTTGTATAAAATATTAAATCCTCTAGGAAAAGCACAATATTCGTATAGTGTTTTGCGTTCTGCTAGATTTTTGCGATTTATTGTTCAAAGATCTGTTGTGAGTTTCAATTTATATTTTCACACAATATGCCTTCGCCACGTGATGCTATGCCGAGCGGTCGCTATGTAAGCCACGGACGACGATGTCCGATGGTCATGGAGTGCGTGTTAATGTTGGTCATATTGATTCCGCTAATCGACGGCGGCACCGGAAGTCCAGACGCGCACGGATCCAGTCTGTACAAGGTCACGGACATCGACCGGAAGACGTGGACTTCGGCCGATTGTATAGAACTCCAGTGCCGGAAGTCGATTGGGTTGTTGATTCCCGGGGCGAATTTCACCGACGGCGACGGCGCCGGCGTAAGGTTCCTGCAGTACTTCGATGTGGTCAAAGCTGAAGCCAAGAAAATCGTGTCGTCTGTGGCCAGGAAACGCGCCATGATCGCTGTCGTGGACGCCCTGGGAGGTTACTTACACACCAAGCTCTTGCCGCACGTCAGAGAGCAATACTATGCGGGCCGGGCCTCTTACTCGACGGTCAAACGGTTACAAGACCTCGATAAAAATATAAAGTGATTTTTTTTTTCGTAGTTGTCTTAATACAGTGTTAAATATTTTAATATTTAAATATTCACTCTCGAGTAACTTGCAGCTAAGTAGATGTAAGTAAGTACCGCAGACGGGCCTGCGTATAAATACAGATATAGCGAACCCTAACCTCCGAACAACCGCTTAAATGAGGGTAGGTACTACTTTTATTCTATTTTTTTCCCCCGGAACGCGTTCCGTACTATTTAAATCTGATCTTGTTAAGATTATACGACCCCGTTTCCGCTCAGTCCATACGATATTACCACCGTCACATACGCATCCGTTCCGACCCGTTGCAGGGACCACTATACAGGTACAAATATTTTAAACAGTTATTTATTATTATTTATGCAAGATGTTACAAGTCGAGTGTTCAAAAAAAAAAAAATGGTTGAAATAGAGTCATGTGCTTGAAAATACTTCACGAAATTAAACATTAATATTAAAATTATTAAATATTTATTAGGTAGGTATACAATCACTGTCTGTCATAATACCTATTATATCCATCTCGATGTGTATAATAATGGTTATTTGTAAATGATTTCATTGTTATTATTGTGATTATACCGAAATATAATCATCATTCGCGCGGTTGTCCACAGGTACATTTTGGGCACGGACGGCCGAGGTTGGGCGAGACCGATAGTGAGAGACCAGCGGTCCAGCGAGGACGTGTCGTTAGCGATGTGGCAGGCAGCCGAACGTAAGCCACGAACGGCGGTTAGGCCCGGTGACGGGTCTTTGGAACGTTGCGGTGGCGTGGCCGCGGGCAGTTACGGTTTGCTGGGCAACGACGACCCCGTACCGTATTTTGACAACAACACGAGACCGCATTCTGTGGTGGTGCCATGGCGCCAGGGGCGGACTGTGCTGTACGGCATCCGGGACGCCGGTTGCTATCGGACGCTGTTCGACCACCTCGCTGCGGCCAACATGCGCGGACGCAGCGCCACACTGCGTCAGTGGCTGGACGAGGCCGTTCTGCCGCTCGTGACGGCTCGGGCCACGGACCAATGGTATCCTGCACTGTGGGGCGTTACGCTCGTGGCCAGGCGTCTAAAAGACGTGGACGCCGTCACTCATATTGGCGATCTGGACGGTCGGGGTGGCGGCCGTGGCCACCGCCTGCAAGTGGACTATGATTGGACGACCGCGGATGTGCCCGGCCACAATTTTTATGCGGCCATCGTCCTGGCGTCCGCGTACGTCTGCTGGTTGGTGGCCCTGATCATCGCACTTTATCCCACCGAAGTACAATAGGAACCCAGACAACAAAATAAAGTTTAGAGAAGTTTCAAAAACATTTGAAATATAACTTTATTTTGTTGTCTGCGTTCCTATTGTACTTCGGTGGGATAAAGGGCCACCGACCAGCAGACGTACGCGGACGCCAGGACGATGGCCGCATAAAAATTGTGTAACCTAACCTGGCCACGAGCGTAACGCCCCACAGAGCAGGATACCATCGGTCCGTGGCCCGAGCCGTCACGAGCGGCAGAACGGCCTCGTCCAGCCACTGACGCAGTGTGGCGCTGCGTCCGCGCATGTTGGCCGCAGCGAGGTGGTCGAACAGCGTCCGATAGCAACCGGCGTCCCGGATGCCGTACAGCACAGTCCGCCCCTGGCGCCATGGCACCACCACAGAATGCGGTCTCGTGTTGTTGTCGAAATACGGTACGGGGTCGTCGTTGCCCAGCAAACCGTAACGGCCGCAGCGAGGTGTCGACCACCCCGAAAATAAAGTCTTGTCCTGTCTTGTAGTTTATGTATTTAAATTTGTTTGTTAACTAATAGATTGAATGTATCAATTGTAAAATAACTTCTGTCAATAAATACAATTAATAAAAATTTACTGTTTTTAAACAAAAATCAAATATCATTCAATAATACTTCAATAACAACAGTAGGTACCTATATTACAATAATTATAAGTAATTATTTTGAGTACCTTAATATAAAATGGAATGCAGATTTTAAATAAAACAAAGTTTTAATGCAGTAATAGTACCTAATATATTGTTTATTATTTATTAATTCATATTTATAAAAGAACACAATTTATAGTTTGTTATTTTTTTCAACTGCTTTGTTTAGAAGTCTAAATTTAGAGTGATTGAGCCAGTTTGCCAATGGGTCATTAAAATCTTTATTGATTTTATCTTTGTGTTTTTGATGGATTCTCAATGCATCTAAAACAAATAAAACATATATAAAGTTAATACAAATAAAATGTCCACCACAAAATGGAACATTATAATATTTAAAAATTATCTTACATTTACTTTGTATTTAAACAATCAATAATAATATAATCTTATTTTAAGGTAAATAATTAATAATTATGTTGGTCTAATTTTCATTTTATTAGTAGTGTATTTTAAAACATAAATATTTTATAAATTGGGTTAAAAATACTAAACTTGAATTAAAAGCTCATTAAGGCCCCTGCAAACGTGTCATTTTTAAGGAGTTGTGTTTAGGCAATTATTTCGTTCCTGCGATTACTGATCGTCTTTGTGTGTGTAGTAAATGATCATTAGTGTGTGTATACTCATTACTCCCCTAACACCACCCACGAACCGCATCAATTTACAATACATTGTTATTCTTATCTGGTTTATGGTCGCACGCACGTACATGCACAAGTCATTGAATGTCTAGATCAAAATATTCAAAACCAATATATGGACGTGAAATAGCCGTCGCACTGACAAAAATTAAGGTACTTCTAGTCAATCTAGTGGTTCGATTTAAAAAATGTAAAGATGTTTGTGTTGGTAAACAAGTTTACTTTGCATCGGTCGGAGCACTTTTTCAATTTTAGCAAATTCTTGACGAGAATAAATATTTTACATTTTATACATTTATAAATGTTTAGTATTGAATATATTCAAAAGTATTTAAAATATAAAAAATTTGCAATTTTTGTCAGTCGCTAAGGTTGTTTTGATGAAAAATTAATAGGGTTTACAGGGGCCTTAATATTATATTAATAGTGCCAATTTTAAACAAGAGTTTTAGCATATTATGTATTTTGGGGTGTGGCTTATTTATATTATCATTAACCTAATAAGTAATAACCTAATAAATAAGGTCAATTTTAAACTATGAATTATGATACTAACTAAAGGCTACAGTACCTAAAAGTATCAAAAGTATTATTATTAATAAATAAATCATTTTAAGTTAAGTACTCACCTATTAATAGTTGATAAACAGACAATTCTGAGAAGTTTTTTTTCTTCTTTTTTCCCAGAAGAGAATACTCGGTTAAAACATCATCGATAAACATACGTCCCATAAGTCGTCTCACGCTATCACCAACATCTTTTGTACCCACAAGTAATGATAACTTGGAAACCTAAATAAAATTGAACTAACACTTTTACAGCTGCTTCAACAAATAATAGTTTATAAATTTACCATATTTAATCGAAATTGTTTATCAGACTTAATTTTATTGTTAAGTAATTGTAAATCCTCTTCATTTGTAATTGGGAAGAAATCATCTAAACTACATCCACTCTCATACTGCATAGCTATTTCTGTAGCTCTTGATTGTCCAAAGTTATTAATAAATCCTTCTAATACCATATAGCTTGAATTCACAGTTGAATGTATCGCAGAAATTTCATGCTTAACTTTAGTTAAGGAACTGACAACAACATTTTTGAATGCTAGAAAATAGACAAATTAATTTATAATAATCTACTATTATTTACCATTGCCGTAGCTGGTGTATAAGTACATAAAAATTTAATTATTGAAAACATATTTTTATTTTAAAAGAAATTAATATTATTTATAAAAAGATTTAAAAGTATGAAAAATACAAGATCAGTTAGACCACATACCTATCCACCAACCGATCTACACACTCATAATATTGTAGTAAGCCAGTTACTACGGAGTAATACCAATTTCATGAGTACATAGTTATTATTATAATATACGATAGACCGGCATAACCAGGTAGTAAGAAAATTAGGGTTCAGAAATAGGCGTTGTAACATTTTACAGAAACAATACCAATTTCACGGGTGCATAGTTAGTATAATACATATACTGTAGAACGGCCTAAAACAAATATTACAAAGAAAGTGGTTAGGTCTCCTTCTGTTAAATATAATGAGACAAAACCACTGAATAACTCAGGACGAGGGGTTCAAAAATAGACGTATATAATATTTTACAGAAACACTGTACACAACGAATTCAAATAAAAAAAAAGAGTAAAATGATTATTTTAATAATAGTCATAGTTTGGTAATACAGTCAATCGTAAATGCGCGGGCTAGAATGATGAGCACACAAATCACATCCGTGAGAACCGAGATATCGTATATGTAGGCAAGGGGTACGGGGAACCTCATATAAAAGGGAGCCCGAATCGGCCTGTTTTCAGACGTGTACTACCACCCACCTTCACGCCACTCTGTACAACAATATTTTGGACTTAGTAAAATTATCGAAGTGCAATAATAAAACTCACAATATTATATTATACAACAACTGTTCTCTTATTTATTTATCAACCACGACTACAACATCTGAAGAAGTGTCTGCGACCTGCAACATTAACGTACTAGTAGCCACTTATCTACTATTATCACTACAATAGTAGGTACCAAGCACCAAGATCGTTACAATATGAAAAACATGTCGTAATTAAAAACACAAACACGACGTATATTTTAAATTTTAATGTATGCCACTGCCTAGCTACCATTACAATTTACAAATAAAAAATGAACTCTATAAAATATGAATGAAGTTTTATTATTATAATAACAATATAATAACAATGACTAATTGATACATTCAATATAGAAGATATTTATGATACACACCTGTATCAGTCTTGCCACAGTCATATTCTGTATTATATTTAGATGAACGATTTGACCCTATAATTAAGCAAAAAATAAATTAAAAATCATTTAGAAAATACAGCTTTAATTTATATTTTACCTTGGGACTCAACAGTTGGAAATAAAACTCTTTTTATAGGACGAGTTAATGGTGTAGTGTTTGAACGTCGAGATAATGGTATAGTGTTTGAACGTTGAGATAATGGTGTAGTGTTTGAACGATGAGATACTGGCGATGGAAAATTAATATATTCAATAAATGGTTGTTTTGGAGGCATAGAAGACATAATAGATGGACTAGTTTCTTCAAACAAAATTTTCCCAATAGGAGAATTCAAAACATACTTGTTATTACGATTAGTCATTGCATGTGATAACAAATAAATATATGTGTACTTGTTTAAAATAATTACTGTAAAATTATACAAATCTGTACAACTTATATAGTGTAATGTGTGCCACTGCCTAGCTATTATTACAAATAAAATAAGAATTATTATAATACAATTATAAGCGAGGTCTGATTTTCTGATTCTTAAATATACTTCATTGATACATTCTATACAACATAATAATACACATACCTGCATTAGGCATACCATACACATCTGTATTATACTTAGATGAACGATTATTTGACCCTAATAAGCAAAAGACAAATTAAAAATCTTTAGGAAATACAGCTTTAATTTAGATTTTACCTTTGGACCCAACAGTTGAAAATAAAACTCTTTTTTTAGGATTTGATGATGGTGTAGTGTTTGAACGTTGAGGTGATGGCAAAGTAATGGATTCAATTAATGGTTGTTTTGGAGGCATAGAAGACATAATGGATAGATTAGTTTCCTCAATCGACATTTTCCCAATAGGAGAATTCATAATATACTTGTTATTATGATTAGTCTTTGCTTGTGATACTGATGGAACAGTCAACAAAAAAAATGTATGTGTACTTTTTTTAAATAAATATTATAATATAAAACACAAATTATATAGAAAAATACGAGGCAAAATGTATACATACCATTTACACTGATTGATTTATGATAGCCAGGGTCTCAGAATCATGACCATCTTCAATATCTGAATCATTATTGTCAATTTTGTCAAACACACGTTTTGATTGATTATCAGTTTTTCTCATTTTACCTACGGAATTTAAATTTGAATTTTTATTTATTAACTATACTTTATTTTTATCATAGTATCTGTTCGCGCCCACCAATAGGGGGGCTACCCGAAGGACCACTCGATAACAACCGAGACGAGATTATTACTATTAGTGCTTTTTGCAAAGGTGCCGACTAACAGTAATTAAGCAACCGAATATGCCTACGCCTTATTGTTTGCGGATAGGCAATTTAAGTTGCACGACGACGATAAGGATGGGACAGACCTATTTTTGGATTTAGGATGATGCAGTTTAATTATGGGGAGGGGTCTCTGTGATCGATTCTGGTATGGTGCAATGATCACAGAGCTCACAATATAAGGCCAGTACTTACAAACTAACTTAAATATTAAGGAAGTCCGGAGACGGTGATATGCTGCCGAAGACGCAGCTCGGGAAACTGACTCTCGACGACCTGGGCAGCCTCTCACACAACGTACGTTGCTGGCGGACTTACGCTGACGACTCGCTCGTGCTGATAACCACTTGAAAAGATGGCAGCGCGTGACTCGACTTACGCAATGTCTATGGAAACGTTGGAATGACGAATACTTATCCCCACTACAGACCAGAAAAAAATGGTTGTCAAAAAAAGGTCCAAATTTAAGCGTTGGTACTTTGGTACTAATTAAGGAAGAAACTTATTTGAATATGTGGAAATATCTTTTGGAACTATGTCAACGATTTTTTACTTCAACTTTCGATGTTCAAAAACTGCATTTGGATTTTGAATCTGGAGCTCATGAAGCTGCAAAAGAAATATTTCCGAACGTGATAATTGTAACATGCCGTTTTCATTTAGGCCAAGCTTGGTGGAGAAAGGTAATATTTAAAATCTAATCTTATTTATAAATTAATACTCTTTACGACTTTGAAACATTTTTTTTAATAAAATAAAATATCTACAGATTAATGGAGATTCAAATTTGAGAAACGCATACAAAGATAACAACAATGAATTAGGTCAATGGCTAAAATTATTTTTTGGCTTACCGTTTTTACCCAGTGACGAAATTGAAGATGCATTTTTAGCATTAATAGCCGAATGCCCCAGCCTAGAAGAAGGTCATGTTTTTACAGACTATTTAGTATCAACATATATTGCACCTGATTCATTATTTCCCCCATATCTTTGGGCACAAGAACCCTCAGTAAATCCAAGGTATGATTTTAAAAAATTTTAAATTAAATTCTTGTTCCTTCCTACTTTAATTTTACCAGTTAATACAAAATCTCTAAGTTTTTATAATATTTTTTAGAACTACTAATGGGCCAGAGAGCTTTCACAGGACGTACAATGGTCAGTTTTATAGCCCCCATCCTCCAACATACGTAGTTATATCAGTTTTAAAAGAAACACAAGCTCAAACTTTGACAATAATTAATTATATTAAAAACAATGTACATAAGCCTATGGCCAAAAAAGATAAACTTTTAATTGAATCAACTTTACAAAATTATAATGATTATAAAGTACACAAAGATCTAATTTTATATTTAAGAAAAACTGGAAATTCCTACCAGGGAAAAAATTTTAAAAAAAGTAAAAATGTAGAAAAATTTTTTTAAAAACTATTATTTTGAGTGTGTTATTATGTATAATATTATTTTTTCATTCAGAACTCAGATCTATGTATGTGTGTATTATTTTATTTATTTTTAAGTTTCTAACGTAAAATGAACACGTACATTTTGTAACAGTATTATTAATATTTATACAACGAAAACAGTTTTAATTAATCAACATTTTAAACATTACTTATTATTTTGTATAATTTTATTTTAGTTTGTAACGAAGAGTTGTTGTCTTAATTGTATTATTAATACCAATAGTTTATATTTAAAAAAAAAAATGTTTTAATTGAACTCCCGAACAAAACATATTCAGAAATATAAACTTGGCAACGTAGTCTATAAAAACGTTCGCAATCGTTCGTTTTTAGGCTAATAAAACAAATTCTCTGATAAGCGTCATTCGTTCGCAATCGTGTTATAAAAAAGGTAAAACGTTCGCAATCGTGTTGTACCCATTAATGAGAGGTGTCGGTGGAGCCGAGAGATGATAAAGAAAGGAACGGTCGTCGTCGCGGCACAACGATAACGATATCGTATCGCTAATTACTAGGCGCGAACAGTATCAATAATAATATTAATTAATATCATCTATAATCATAGGTTGGGAGTAGTCAGGGTCATCGTCGGAATTGTCAATATCCGATTCAGGAGTATCATTATTATAGTTTATTTTAGTTTTTAAATCATAATTTGTTTTATTTTCTATTTTTCTGATTTTACCTATAAAAATAACAATACTTTATTATTCATAGCATATTTATGACTATATCTTTAAAACTAAAAACAACTAAAAATAAAGTTAAAAAAAAAACATTTACTTGGCTTTAACAAAGGAGGACTTCCAATACGTTTGGATTTATTTTGTAAATCTTCATCGTTGGCAGAGAGTTCAGACTGAATTTGTGCAATTTTCGACTTACTTCGAGCTTCTTCTATAGTTGCTACACAAACCAACAATAGATAATTTATATTTATAATGTTATAGGTAAAATCAATATATATTTCAAAAATATGTAAATACCATATTTCCTTCCAAGAACGCTTGCAGGAAACCACTTATAATTATTTTTGTCAGGATAATCTTGTTTTGCAATATATTTTTTCAAATTTTTTGATGTAAGCGGCCAAGCACAGGTTTGATTTTTTTTATCATACCATGTTTCAGGTACTGCCTCTACAGGCTACAGCATTGTCATCAACAAAATCAACCACTATCCACATGATTTGAATTAATCTAAATAACAATTTTATTAATGTACATAATTATCAAGTAAATATTTTAAAATAATACCCGAATAATTTACAATATGTAGCTCTAAAAACTTGATCGATACTAGACTCCAAATAACAGGGGTAGATAATTATTTAGTATGTACCCAAATATTTATGCTATACATTTATACAAATTAATATTATAAATATAAATAAATTATTTTTAAATGAATAAAATTAAAACTAATCCTATTTCAATACAAAACAATAGTAGGTACCTAACTATTTTTATATTTGTCTCAAATTAAAAATTACAAAATTAGGTATATTACATAAAATAATAATTAAAACATTTTATAACAAAAAAATGAAAACAATGTAGGTATTTACAATGATGTATGAAGTATTGGCATTGAAACTAACTTATTATCATGTTTAATGATCATTATTTTTTTTTTTTATTTCCAAATAGTCCCAGCATTTTAGCACATTACTAAGTGCATGTACTGTATATATATCAAAAATTGTAGAATCTGCAGGCTTATCATATAATGCTACTTTCTTCTCAAATGTTTTTCCTATTAGTTCCTACCGCCAATACCAGATCAACCAATTCCTTTCACATCCCAACTTCCCGTTCAAACTTTTTATCTAATGATCCTTTTGTTAGAGCTATGCGCAATTTAAATAAAAATAATTTTGATATATGGCCTTAAATTTTGTATTCTCCTAACGTGTGTAATTTTCCTATTATAATTTTTATTGTTCTTATTTTTTAGTATATTGTTAACATTATCATTTATGTATATTATTCTTATCACTAACGTTAATTTATGTAATATCGTTATTGCTATATGTAAAAAGCCGTTTGGCGTTTATACAAAAAAATAAAAAAATAAAAAAATAAAATAAAATAAATTTAATACTACCATTGTCTGTTTTTACAATATTCAAACATTGGAAAATTTCACTGTTATTGGTCATTATGTAACTATTATTAATAACTGTAGTGTCAATTTTAAATTTATTGAACAGAATTTTTTTAAACTGTAGTCCTTTTATATTGTCAACTAGTGGTCCATTTGTATGTTTTTTAGTCATAATCGGTAGTTTTATTGATACACTTGGTAATGTAATGACTCAAAAATTACGATGGGAGATAAGATACGACGCCTGTCGATAAATATATTAAAATCGTAAGACTAAGCAATTACCTTCCTCCAGGTGATCGGAGGGCTCTCGAGATCGTGTTTTCGAGAATTAAATCAAATACACTATACAACACAATTGTATAAAAAGCATGCACAGATAATATAATAAATGCAATTAACATAAAATATTATATTAATTGCCTTACCTGTTCCGCAGTCGATTGTGAATTATTTTGTAAGGGTTTTAATAGACACAGAGTAATATTTTTTTAAATTATAACTCGAAATAATAAACGCACTGATTATTGCTCACATAAGGAGTCCAGAATGTCGCTCGTTGAAATCGGTCTTTTTAGACTTTTTTTTGGAGATTGTTACTCTGTGAATGGTGCTCATGCACTGGTTTAAGGGACGACGCGACGATGCTGACCAGAGAGTGGTAGGCGGCTTTATCAAAAATGTTATCGTGAGCTTGGGAACTAGATTATTCTTTGGCGGCAGATACCCTTTTTTTTCTTTCCTTTTCTCTGGCGGCATCGTATAATAAAGTCACACATCCTGCGTTTTACCGTTATGAGTGGGTGCCGATATCTTAGTTGTCGTTAATAATGGTTTTATTTGATGTGACCGATTTCTACAAACGACAGTCTGGCCGTTATTTATTAAGTATTCTGTAAGATTTTAGTTTATTATAATGGTGTGTGAGCATATCATTACAGTAATGTCACAGGTAATTCATAAATTTCTTTATATCTGTTAATTAATTGTTCAAGAGGTTTTTCATGCTTCCTTACTTTACTCTTATAAATAATTTAACGATACCTAGAGATAGCCGTAAAGCCCGTATAGGTATCTCTATTATTGGCATATCGTATGCACGTTAAAAGAGTTTATTATTTTCCAACCTACAATTTTCCAATTTTTTTTTTTTATTCATTACTTCACTATAATAATATAATATGACCGATCAACACGTGCATCATACATTCATACATGATGCATATAGGTACCAGCATACACGATATTATATACTTAGATAAAACACATTTATTTACTTTGATGAAGAAAAAGTAGCCTGGCATTAAAAAAAAAGTTGGCTCGCAACTTAAAAGTTGTCACACCCTTACTATAAAACACAGATGACGCCAATGGATTACTATGCAGACTGTTGAAAAACCCCTTATTTTGATGTAGGTATTGATTAACCACGGAAATAATTAGGGTGCAGGCGCGGGACTTTCGGGACACACCGTATAGGTACTTTATACACAAACTTAGCTTGAAACTTAAATGAAACACCGGAAGTCCGGAACACCTGAAAAACCTAAGTGATATCCGTAGATCCGATTTGCTTCAAACAGGGGGACCATGCCCTACGTTGATACGTCCCGTTTTTGAGCATCATGTCACCTTGTCTCGGCAAACTTCGAAAAACGCTTTTTGTAGCATTTTAATCCGCGGGTTATCTCCTCACATTAATTACATATATAATACTAGTATACTCAGTTCTATTATATAATTCATTTTGTAGTACCTATCGTATTAAGTGGTTCGTTAAAACGTAAGTGCACGTCGTACGTCATGTAGTACAGTATATTAATTATAATCAAAGGTGGGCATTAACTTGTTAAAAAGTTAAATTTTTGTAACTTTTTAACATAACTGGTTAATTATTTTAGTTCATAACTTAGGTATGCACTTATTCAGTTAAAATATTTATTGTTGTAACTTAACTTTTTATAGTTAATGATCATTGTCCTGCAGTTAAGTTAATTTAATTTTTGAGTCATGCGTAATCAACTAGGCAATACTGATTCGTCGACTTTCTAACGATTTTGGTAATTTATTTTCGAATTATATATTATAATAATCTAATTTCTTACACAGTTTTAAATATCTTGGTAAATGTTTGTGTATAACAAAATACTATGGTGGTTTATGACTTAAAAATATTGTACCTTTAAAAAAATTAACATTTTTTTAACTGAGATAAGTTAATTTTATTTTCTATCTTAACTTTAAACTTATCTAGTTAAATGTTTTTTCTTTGTTAACTTTTAACTTAACTGAAGGCAATTTAATTGAAATAATTTAAATTTCCAAAGTCAATTATTTTCATTAACTTGCCCACCATTGATTATTAGATATCTATGTAAATCGATTTATGGACAGCATGTAATTCTCCCGTGTATTACACAGACTGCTATACTACACTGTATGAAGTATGAATACTATATTATATTGAAATCTGTGATGTATTAGTAGTAGGTATATATTATATAGTAGTTCGCATCACAGATAAATAAACCGCTAATCCGGGTTATGAAAAGAATCACAGCAACGCTGGTACAAAATAATATTATGTACAAGTACAATACCATAGTGAGAAATGATCGTATTGTTTTTAAACTGCGTGTAGCTCGAAATTGGGAGTATAATTTCAAAATCGTATACGACAGCGCCGTTTGTTGGCGAAAATGGGACGTCGTCGTTATTCGCACATGCGTTTAAAAAATCAAATATCCGACCATAGATAGCGCTGTTGTTATCATCCTGACTCGTGGTTGTTGTCAGAATTCACGAGGGGAGGAGTCTAAGCGATATATTACAAAATTAATTAATCTTATAAAT